CAGCGCTGGTCCTTTGCAGGTGCTCCAGGAGGTGGCTGCACGAGTCTCTGCCCAGGAGGTGGGACTTCGCCAGCAGGCTGGTGAGGCGGGACAGGCAGGCTCGGTATCCTTCCCGGTAACTCTCGGCGGGGTCTGGGACGGGGGGGCAGGGGGCGGGGATCTCCTTGAGGAACTGCACGGTCATCTCCAGAATATCCGCCTTCTCTAGCTTGGAATAGCGCGAGCTGTCTTTGCCGATGAGCGGCAGGATGAGGGTCTTCAGCTGGTTAAGGCTCTCATTGATGCGGGCTCGTCTGCACTTCTCCATCAGCGGCTTGAGGGTCTTCCGCAGCTCAGCGGCCTCCCCGGTTTTCCTGTGCGCCCCCAGCCTGGAGCTGTAGCTCTGCACCGCTTCGGGCGCGGCGCTGCGCGGGGACATGGGTCCAGGGGCAGGATCGCTGGGAGCTTGGCCGGGCAGAGCTGCTGGGGGTGGAATCGTTGGTGTACTCAGCCAGCCTGGGTAAAACACACACAGAATCAGAGGACTCAGCAACTGCCTTCACATGATGTACAGTCCAGTGCACTGTGCTAGTTGGCCTAACAAGGATCAAGCAATGGTGAGAGCGCTGCGGGAGTTGTGTGAACAGAAGATTTCTGTGAAGGAATCAGCAGTAGGTGGGTCTGTCAATTGCCTGGTGTTATGTGGTGAGTCTGCAGCTTTGTTATCTCTCAAGGTGAGACAAACAGCATGGCACCCACCTCTCATGAGCACACCCCTCTGGTCGGGTGTGTCTGCAGTCTTTTAACAGTCCCGCCCTTGATATTGGGCCATACCCCCGGGGCTTCCTCCTTGGAGGCAATTGTTTCACCCTCTGTGGGTCCTTCTGGCCCCAGCCTCTCCCTGGGTACTAAATAGTTCTGATATCTTTCTGGGGGTTTATCACTGTCCAAGTGTAGGCCACTTCCCCAGTGGCCTATGGGAGGGAGGGGGCAGGCCTGCCCACTACTCTGGGTCCCAGCCCAACGACCTTAAGAATAGCAACAACACAGTGCCATGTCTTCAGTTCCCTGGGCCACTTCCTTCCAGCCTCAGCCTTCACCAAAGCTTCACCCTTTCCTCAGGGCTCATCTAAGTTCAGGGTAGCAGTCAGCCAGGGCCTCTTCCTCACTGCCCCAGGTCCCTGCCAGCACTGAGCTGTCCATGGTGCTGCAGTTCCCTTTGGCCAACCAGGAGCACCATCAGCACTCCTCTAGCTCCAGGAAGAAACTGACTCTGGTTTGCACTGCAGCTCCTTTTATACTAGCCTGCAACCCTCTGATTGGCTAGCCCCTTGCAGCCTCCCTGATTTTCTACTTTCCTGCATGAAAAGCCTCTAGGCTGTGTGGAAGACTTTGCCCCACTGCTTCTTTCCTGGGATGAGTATGACAGGATCCTGAGGCCTCCACCCCAACACAGTGATATGCAGGGGATTTTTTGTTCTGTGGAGTCTGATGGAGTTTTTCCCCCATACATTTTAAGGTGGGACAGAAACATTATCACTATCTACTCTGACCTCCTGCTTAGCACAGGACATGGAATTTTACCAAGTGCGTCCCCTATCAAGTCCATAACTTTCTCTGATGTAGAAAGACACCCAGTTGCAACATAACAATTTCAAGCAATGGCTTCAGCGCTGCGGTAAATTGTTCCAATGGTCAATTACCCTCATTGTTCCAAATTTGTACCTTGTTGCCTGTCTGAATTAGTCTGGCTTCAGCTTCCAGCCATTGGCTCCTGTTCTGACTTTGTCTGTGACAAAGGCCCATTTCTGCCCATCCTGATCATACCATAATCTCTTACAGACCATGATTAAGTCACCTCTTACCCTCCTCTTTGTTACGCTAGTGAGACTGAGCTTCTTTAGCATTCCACCGTGTGGCAAGTTTTCCAGACTTTGAATCTGAAGATCACCCTCCTCCCTGATGCTGGCTACTTGGAGCAGATTCTCTCCACTTCTCACATGGGTTGGGTCCTTTTTGGTGGCACCTGGTGCCTCCATGTAGATGACTCCTCACCAAGTCAGGGACTCACAGGGCACTGACCCTTGGGAAAATGAACCATGTAGGACTGCTGGCCAGAGGTATAATCCCCAGTACATAGGAAATAACAAAAGGCATCAACACAAACACCAACAAATAAATAACATGCTCCAAAACGACAGCATGACAAAAGAGACTTTATGGGGAGCAGGAACATGGGAGCTGGGGAAGGTTAGAGTAACTAATAAGGGAAAACACATCAACAAGTTCCCCACCTCCCAACACTCCCAACCCTGGCTCCCTGCCTGGCACCTTCCCAGGCAGGTGGTATGCTGGGGAGCAGTCCAGAGGTGGGTGCTGCAATGCTATGAATGTTGGACAGCTTAAAGAAAAAGGGGTCCCTCACTTTGTCTTCACCCCTGGGTAGGACCTTGCTGGTGCTAGATCTCGCCCTCTAGACGCTGGTCTCTGCAGGGCTCATGCAGCCTGACCTGTGCACTAGATGCCACAGCCACGCACATACTCCCTTTGTGGGGAGGGGAATTAATCCGAGACTCCCTGAGCCGCTCTGCTTCCCTCTCAGCTGCCAGTCCTCAACTGAGACTAAAACTAGTCCCTTTGGCTCTGGGTCAGGCTATCCCCTCCCTCTGAGGGGCTGAGCAGACCCAGCTCATCACTGCCCATATGGATCACCCTATGCAGAACCCTCCCTGTTGGACTCAGCAGGAGTTTCGAGTCCATTCTGCCCAGACCCCTGGCTCCAAGCATGCTGGGAAATGGCATCAGAGGGGTCTGGTAGCCTTTATGGGTGTAGTTCATAGGCTAGGACCCCTAGAGGCTCAGTCCAGAGTTCCAGGAGCTGGCAAACTCCAAGTAGGGGTTACAAATCACTCTTGTAGCTCTTTTCTGAGCCCTTTCCAATTTGTTAGCATTTGTTTTAAAGCACGGATACCAGAACTGGGCCCAGCAGCCAGTAATGGTCTTGCTAATGCTAAGGTAGGACACATTTCCCATCCCATGTTCTTGGAGCTGCTGCTTCAGTTTTGAGGCCAAGTCCATTCCCGTGGGGAGGGGGGTGGTCCAGCCCTGACATGGACATGCCTACTGATGAAGATGAGTTTATTTGGATAAGGTGGAGTATCCTTGAATTTGCTGCTCCCCCTGCCTGCAAGCCCTAAGTTTCTAACTTGCAATAGCCTGATTTAAAGGTCTGAAACAAATCATCCCTACGATTTTTAGTCTCCAATTGACCCTTATCTCTGCAAGTCTTTCCTATGCCTGCTAGAGTCTGTCTGGCACCATCCATTGCTTGTGTTACACAGATGCCCCTAACTCACTGCCTACTGGCTAAGGGCCAGGTCCCCTTTCCAGTGCACAGCCTGAATAAATGACTGTGCTTCACGCCAGCCTGCCTCAATTAGAGGAGAAGGGGGGAGAAACGTTCTTCTGGGCCTGGAGGCATCCCCCAGCCACGATGGCAAATGGAGGGTTGCAGACTCTCAACAGCTGCTGGGCACTTCCCCAGGAAACTTTGGCTGGTGGAGTCCTGTAGTTATGCTCCATTGGTCACACTATGGCCTTTCTCACACCAAGCCAAAGGAGCCTTACAGAGCTTTGCTCCACAGTGCATGGGGATCTGCGCTCCATGGTGGTGCCAAATCCCTTCCAGTGCAACACAACTGTAGTGGCTCCAGGACATTCACGACCACCAGTGTCCCTGCAGGACTTGCCTGTAGGTGATAGATTTAAAATGGAGTCTCACAGCCTACACTAACATTGCTGTTTCACTGGTGTTCTCTGTGCCAAGAATCTAGATGGACATCCATCTATAAGACAGGCCCTAGAAACCACAAGTTGTTGGGCTTGGAGGAGGAATCCCTAGGTGAGGGTCTCTGGCTTGCACAGGGAAGACTGGCTGATCAGAATGATCCTTCTGGCCTTAAAAGCTACGAAAAGCCTGTGAGGCCAGTGCAAACCGCACCTTGCTGCTCTCCCACCAACAACAGTGCCACATTCATTCCACACGTGAAAAGTGACTTGTAGTGACAGGAGTTTGTGAGATTTCAGCCTTGACCCACAAACCCACAAGTACTCGAGCGGAATACTAGCAGCCCAGTGCAATCCATTGTACTAATTCAGGATTGCACCCAGGACATGCTGGGCACTTTTCAGATTTCTCAGAAGGGACACAGCCAGTGGGCCCCAATGGAAGGTCTGTAGCTGCTACTCCTGTCCCTAGTAACAACAGGTTACAGCTTCCTGAGTCACCCTCATGAGACAGATGCTTCTGATTTTCTGTGGGTAAAGTAGATTTCACCCATTACGCACAGGTACCTGCACCACTGCAGGTAAAGACTAACCACCTCAGACTGGCCAACACTCTGTTGATGCCGACTAACACCACTGGATTTTATTACTGCACAGAAAAGTGGCTCCCAGAAGAGTAAATATTGTGCACTTAGCAGCACCATATTTACAGCTTTGAAATTTATCTCTGTGCTATTTTAGCTGTATTTGAAATGCTTTAGAGCACTAATGTTAGCCAGGAGGGCTGTTATTTACCTTCTCGCTGGAACAATGTCAGGTATTTTTCTTCCCGACAGCCTTCTATGACTAGTGGAAGAACCTTGTTTTAAAATAGGGGGTCACTATGGTCCCAAACTCCAGGCTGGGATTAACAGACTCTCAGCAAGCCATATGGTTTGCATGCCAGAGCAGCCTGCTAATGAATCTCCGAATATGCAGCTACCCACCAGACTTGTGAACAGGGGGTGCATTTTGTCAGCTTTCTAGAGGTGCGTGGGAACGCTTTTCCCATTTACTGAGCATTTTCTTTATTTAATTTTTTTTCCCCTGTACAAAGTCAGAATCTCAAAAAAATTTCACAAAATGAAAATCTAAAAAAAAAGTTGGTTCAGTTCAACTGAAATGTTTTGATAATTTGAAAACATTTCAGTACTGACTAATACTCCAGATGTGGCCTCACCAGTGCCGAATAGAGGGGAATAATCACTTCCCTGGATCTGCTGGCAATGCTCCTACTAATACAGCCCAATATGCCGTTGGCCTTCTTGGCAACAAGGGCACACTGCTGACTCATATCCGGCTTCTTGTCCACTGTAATCCCCAGGTCCTTTTCTGCAGAACTGCTGCTTAGCCAGTCGGTCCCCAGCCTGTAGCAGTGCATGGGATTCTTCCGTCCTAAGTGCAGGACTCTGCACTTGACCTTGTTGAACCTCATCAGATTTCTTTTCACCCAATCCTCCAATTTGTCAAGGACCCTCTGTATCCTAACCCTACCCTCCAGCGTATCTACTACTCCTCCCCAGCTTAGTGTCATCTGCGAACTTGCTGAGGGTGCAATTCATCTCATCATCATTAATAAAGCTGTTGAACAAAACCAGCCCTAGGACCGACCCC